ACGTAAGTAAACGTCATTAACATGACGTCATTTTTGACGAGACAAACTCACGTCGTCATTACGTTAATATCACGTCATAAACTAACGTCGAACTGGTCAAAAACTGACTTTATATTAACGTCATTATAACGTCAGCTGGTTGCCTGGGTCTATTAAGCATTTGACGAGATGTACTTTGGGAAGAAAAATAACGCAACAACATCGTCAAAAAATCGAACAATTGCAATGCATATTAAGTGAAATTGATTACGTTTGTACCACAGCTGACATCTGGACAAGTAGTGCTCGCCGATTTTTAGGAATTACTGTTCACTGGATCGATTCCGAAAGGTGTATTAGAAAATCAGCAGCAATTGCTTGTCGTCGATTTTCAGGAACTCATTCTCATGATCAAATAGCAAAATTGATGCATGAAATCCATACATCTTTTGGATTAAGTACTTTGGGAAAACCAAGCGCCGCACCTAAGAAGAGCGTACTGCAAGACAGAGATTGCGAGTCGATGCGAAAAGGGCGCGACAACGGCCGGTAGGGAGCGCGGGGCCCACGTAGCGCGCGACGGCGATTGAAGAGGAAGGGAAAAACTTCGGACATGCGCAGTACGGTTCGAGCGAACGAAGCGAAAAGCCACCACTTTGTCGTAGCATTTTTTGGCAGCGTGTCTCGGAATACATCTTACACAACAGTTCTTAGCATATTTCTTACATTTTAGAAGTGGGATTAGACACGTGCTGTGCGATCGGCAGGCTGATAGTAGCGTCGCGTGACAAATCGACATGGGTCGACATAAGTCGCGTCGCGAGGTTAGGAACGACGGTTCGAAAAGCAAAAGGCGTCGCTCTCCGTCTTCGTCGACTAGTGATGAGAGCCATCAGAAAGAGAATCGAGTAAAGCGACTAGAACGGATAGTGGAGAGCTTGGACAGAAGNTCACGTACACGTGGCTCTTGCATCCATCGAGGGGATGAATTAATGATACCGCTGTTTGATCCGGCGAAGGACGACATAGTCGTCGAAAAATGGATCGAACATGTGGATGACTTGGCTGAACAGTATGACTGGGATGATCGGGCNATTATGAGGTTAGTACCGAGTCGATTGAAGGGTCACGCTCGCCAATGGTATGATACACGGCCGCGACTGGCTATGGCGTGGAAGAAGATGAAGGAGACATTAAAACAGCATTTTCGTAAGTCGGTTCCGTTTTGTAAGTTATTTAAGGAAGCAGCATTATACGAGAGCTCCCCCGGTCAAGCGCTCGGAGATTACTGCTTCCAAAAATTGGACAAATTGCGCAAACTAGATATTAGTATTCCCGACAAATATCTCATTGATGCCGTAATTGGTGGAATAACGGATACAAACGTCGCGAGAACGATACGTACCGCGCAACCCTGCGACGCGAACGCATTGTACGCGTATATGACGTCACTCGGCGAA